AAATAAAGTTTCTACTATGGCATTATAAAAAAAAAAAAAAAAAAAAAAAAAAATAGAAAGAGTAAACAATACTGATCTTTTGTAAAAAAGAAACTAAATTTTCTAGTTTTGTCAAAAAAAAAAAGATTAAAGAGAAAAAACTTGTAATATATTATTATTTTTTAAACCCTAAAAGAGTGTGTAAATAAAATAATTTATTATCTTCTATTTTTAAGTCTTCTTTTACCAACTTTATTAACAAAAAACTCTTTTCTGTCTCTTTACTAAAATTTTTTATACAAAGATTCTACCTGCTAATTATCTTATATAATATCATTTTTAGCTTGCAAGTTAAATATACAAAGAAGTTCCTAAAAGAAAGCAATTGATCTTTGTAAAAACTATTGTATTGTAAAAAAAACTTCTTCAATAAATTTTTGTTTTTTGCTTTTTCAAATTTTTTAGAAAAAAGGATTATCAGAAAGAGTTGGTGATTTTAACTGATTGTTATTTTATTCATATTATGATTATTGATAACCCAAACTTGAGCCAGGCTAAACTGAGCCTAATTTGTATCAGACCCAACCTGACCCATATTCTAAAACTTTTTTTTTTTTTTTACTAGACCGGGCTTGGGCTCAAAATTTTTTTTCAGGTTTGGGTTTTTTTTGGACAAGCCCGGCCCGGCCCAGCCCATTTCGTACCCTATTAATATCGACTTAGGCACTAATTGTGGAACACAGTTTTTATAGCCTTCAAAATTTCCGAATAAACCGGGCTTTTTTTTCCCCCACCCTAATACACAGTGGCTCTCGATATAACGGACTCTTGATATAACGGAGACTAAATAACATCTTGATATAATGGATAAGATTCAAATCCACATCATAATAAATACTACTTGATATAATGGATTTACTAATAAAACTCTCGATAAAGCGGATTTTAAAAATTCCTCATTATGTGCCCGAGGTACTACGTTATATCGAGAGCCACTGTGTAGCAGCTTTATAATCGTCGAAGCATTTTATTTTTTAAAAAATAACTTTTAGTGCTATTTATTTTGCTGAATTTCATTTGATAAAAAACAATATTTGCAGAAATTCTAACCGATTTTTATTGGTAGATTTTATTAATATAATAAAGAGCTCTAACTTTGAAACTACCGGTAACTTATCATAAACTTTTTAAATCATCAGGACTAATGGAAACAAATATACAACAATGTATGTATATTTAGTGATGAATAAGAGAAATCAAAAATAAATAAAATAAGATTAAGAAAGATCGAATCCAACGTCTGCATTAATGGCATATGATAATTTCCTAAAGTAAATATTAAAGAAATTAAAGAAATTTAAATTAAAATTGTGCAACATAATTTAAATGGTAATAAATGTTTAATATAATGACATACTGTCTCAATGTATTTTCATCCGGATAAGCTGGTAATTTAAGCAAATTTACACATGTACTTGATGATGGCAATCTCGTTCCAGTACCAGCTCTACGTATACTGAACTTTGGGTTTAGTTCTTTAAAACCAAGAAGAGGGGGCCGAGAACAAGATGTAACGAATTTTATTAATTTTTGCTTTTGTTCTTCGGAAAATTCCGATACTACTTTCCAAAAATTGATGATGACGGGATCGTCATCTTTATAATCGGCATACACTGTATTTTGTTGCAAGTCTGCAATACTAATAGGAAAGTATGCTCCTCCCACAAGAATTTGTAATTCTTGCTGTCAAAATAATCGTATAAATAAAAATTATGATAAATTAAAAAAAAAAAAAAACACTACATTAAAATTCTTCGAACCTGATTAAACATTTTCAACCATTTCGGCTCTATTAAATCTTTTAAACCGCGAAAAAATGCTTGGCACTGCAAACCTATTTGAACATTTAATCTGTAATCAACCATCTTATATATATAATTGATTCGATTGTGTTTAGTGACTGGAATATCACTTCCTCCATGGATCAATTCAATAGTCCGTGATTCTCCAAACTCTGAATATACAATAATAATAATAATAATAATAAAAGTTAAAATAAATAATTTAAGGCGAAAACCTGATGAATTATTAATCTTCACCATTATCTACTACAGTAAAATTCAATGATAAATCTGACTCTACATCTCCGTTATAGTTTTTCAAATAAACCAAACCCTGATATAATTCTGGGTCAACAGAAGGTAAATCATCCACTATTAAATGCCAAAATAGCGTCAATAAAATTAAATTTATGAAATTTAAATTAAGTGAACGTACAGTACGACCGCTCTCCCAACCATTTGTTTAGAAAAAAGCCTGCAAAAGCCGCATCAACCAGAATTCCTTCGTATAAAGCTTTCCCCAATATGCGACCGAGAAACTCATAGTGACGCAATTGTATTTCTAAAGCACAAATACAGAATAATTATTTATATGAAAGGAGAATATAGATGTTGTTTCTATTCATAAAGTTTAGCTTATATTTTTAATTACCTTGACACGCATAGCTATGTGGATTCGGATGCAAAAGCTGCTCTTTTGTACTAAGGAACAACCCATATTCTGCATCAAAAGCTATCCGTGTCAATCTAATAACGGATTGATTAAATTCTATCAACAAAAGTCTTATCGATGTTTAATTGCTGTGTCATTTTTAATATTCGCTTACGAGGTCAAAAATTCCTTGAATAAACCTCCTCCGTCTATTCCAGCTTCTTGAATCCCAAATTCGTCAATAAATTGAATAGCAACAGAATTTTTTAATTTGGGTCCCATGGCATTAAGGTTGGTGAACCCATCTTCAAATATTTGATTTCGACGAATAGTCACACGTGTTCGAGGTTCAAACATAGCATAACTATGATTTCTAAATTAAACGAATTATGATAAAAATCAAATCAAATAAATAAATAACTTGTTCCTTATAAATCTAAATATAATTTAACATATTTATAATTACCTTTCACGGTCATTACGAACAAATTGTCTAAAGATTCTAACACGTTCATCGAAAGGTATTACAAAAGGAATATTGTGAAGTACGCCAAGACGCGGACTAATAGATTCCGGCTGTCGCTTGTCCATACTTGTTTTTTCATTCTCGCGCTCAAGATCCTGCTCTTCGGTAACAACACTTTTAGCGAAAGTACTCATATCAAATTCAGATGTCATTAACCAATGATGTTCCGGAGTGAATCGACGACGAGAACTAAATTCATCGAAATGTTATTATTAAAACTAAAATAATTTGAAAAACATGAATGGCGATAAGAGACATACTCTCTTGCATGGATCTGTTTTAATAATTTTGTGGCAACTTCTCGAATATAAATGGGTTTAATGCAGCTGCCTTCGATAACATTGCTTATTTTCAATTGAGGACCGCTCCAATATAAAATAAATGCTATATTCTATAATAAAATGTGAATAAATTGTTGTAGATTACTAAATTCGTGAAGTAAATTCAACTTAAATAATCATCTACCTTCAAATAAGTAGACATTTCAATAATCTCTGCTAACTTCAGAGGATTTTTTACTTTCGTCAAAGAATTCGTAATCGTCTATAATAAGTAAAATTCGACTAAATAACTCGCAAAACAAGTAAAACATTCCCCACTCTTCAGCAAATGCGGGATCTAATTAAAATAAAGTTTAAGAAGTTAATATCTAGAATGAGATAATATTTTTAATTAGTTCAATATTACCTGTGATGAAGCTATTTGATAAAGGTTGACCATTTGACAACAATCGAGCGAGATCTGTACTATTGAACCCTTTCCATAATAAGTTAATCGATAACTGGTCGGAAAGCTTTCCATATGTCATTTTACTTAGCAAGTTTGATTTCTTTGAAGGCCAACGAATCATCAAGGTGGAAAAAAAATTTGAAATTTTGAGTATGGCTTTCGTATTTGCAGATTTCACAGACGATAACACAGTTTCTAAATGTTGCGCATCGATTAATATGGAAATCCACTTTAAAATGCCTGGATAAATTTGAGACGTTGCAGACAATTCCAGGTGATCTTGGATTATTGTAACATGATTATCAACTTATAATACATGTATATTATAGAAAAATACCATTTGAACTTTTAAAATACCTTGTTAAGCATGGTCTATATCTTGAATTAAGAAATCGATTGATAAATTTGGTGAGACAATGT